GTTCTTAAGGTGTGGTATGGGGACTCCAGGGATTCAAAGGATACTTTCTGTAAATCTGTAGGATCAAACTATTCTCATAATGCTAAGAAGTTATTTGACTTTTTATTTATTTTCTAACAAGTATCCAAACATCATTTTCTAAAGGCAATAAGACAATGATGATATTACTGTTCTGGCAGCTAATGGCATATGTTGGGCATTTTTGTGTTTTCTAGAATTTTTTAAGGTAAATTCTTAGGACTTCCAATAACTTTTTAGACTGTACAGGGGAGAAAATCATGCTAAGTGAAATAAGCAAGGCTTGGAAAATCAACAGTCAAATGTTTTTTCTCATATGTGGAAGCTAAAGCAAAATAAGGGAAAGAAGGCAGCTGGGGGGGAGATTGGTAGAGCAGGAGAATGAGAGGGCACGAGGTTGGAGGGGAGAGAAATACGGAATGAATCTACAACAGAATTATGTTTTTAAATTTTTTTTGTAGTTGTGCATGGACAACTTCATTTTATATGTTTATTTTATATGTTTACTTTTATGTGGTGCTGAAGATTGAACCCAGAGCCTCACACATGCTAGGCAAGTGCTCTGCCACTGAGCTACAGCCCCAGACCCAGAATTATGTTTTATAGATATAAAAATGTACCAAAGGGAATACTCATTTATGTATACATAAAAAGTACCAATCAAAAATAAACAAAGGAGTGAAGGGAAGCTCAGTTAAGTAGAGGAGGGAGAAAAGGGGAATGGAGAAAGGGAGAAAAGGGAGAGGAAATGGGAATTGAAAGCAAATTCCTTATATGTATAATTTTGTCAAAAAGAAACCCAAATACTATATATAATTATAATGCTTGAATGAAAGAAAAACTTGAGAACTCTTGGTATACATTGAGCCATACAAGGCAGAGAGTACCATACTTTAAACCAAAACTTTTTTTTTGCTTTAGCCAGGTGTGGTGGTACAAGCCTGTAATACCAGCCACTCAGGAGGCTGAGGCTGGACTATCAGTTCAAAACCAGCCTCAGTGAGACCCTGTCTCTACATAAAATACAAAATAGGGCTGGGGATGTGGCTCAGTGGTGGAGTTCCTCTGAGTTCAATGCCCAGTACCAAAAAACAACAACAAAACCTTCCTGTTTTAAAAGAAGTAATTTCCCCCATTTTCCTTCATGTTTTCTACCAACTGACCTACTCTACCCTGAATAAATAGTTGCCACTGCATAACAACCTGTTTTTTTCAGTACAAAAATTGGCTTATAACTTTTCAACACATAATTATAGCACGGTATAATACTGTTCCTCATGCCACTTAAAAGGTAAACAGAGCAGCAGTGCATTCACCAGTGTTATATGGATGCACGTTTGTCTTTTTCAGCCCATGTGCATTGTCAGTATTTATTTCCCAAAGTGGAACTGGTGTGGTTTTGTTTAGAGTGCTGCAGCACTAACTATAAACACATCTAATAAGAGTGGCACTGAAGACTGGGGTGGGCATTTGTGTCAGATAATAAAACCAATGATAGTGGCACAGAGTCTTCAGACAGAGTTAATTCTGTAAGTCCATACTTCACAGAATCATAGTAAATTTTCCCAAGTGTAATATTTTGACTAGTAGTCACAAATCAATAACTAATGTTCACTTAACTGTCATGAAGAAATGATGTGCACCAATTTGGACTATTCAGTTTTAACATATATTCACAACTATTACATGCATCCTCATCTTGTACCAAAGACAGTTTAGTAATAAATGATTTTTAAGTAATACTGGCACAATTTTTAAGTTTCACATAACAGTTGCACCCTGCTTTTGGGGAAAATTTTGGCATAAAATCAGCTCAACAATTATGCAGTGAAATATGGTTAACAAAACTCTTCTAACATTTGAAGATGTGAAAGAATTATACATAGGTAGCAGACTGATTACTTAGAGCACTCTAGAAAAATGTCTTAGGACAAAGTGTGTTTCTATACATTTTGTTGCTGACTAGATAACTTCATTCCAGATAATAAATAAGAATTCTCATTAAACTGTGTTCTGAACCACTAATGGTTCCACTTGAATCACAGGGAAATACCTTTGACAGTGCCTCTCTCTAAAACATCTCTTAAAAGCCTCCAGTACTTATTTTTCAGCAGATTAAGAATACTGTGCTTATGAGCCAAAGTTACAGGCTCAAAATTACCTTTGACCTGTTCTCTAAGGGTAGGGGACTTCTGGCACTTGTTTCAAAGTCTCTCATGTACCTACTAAGGGGGCCTGGGTGACACACTAATAATGTAGCACAGTCAAAATTTTGTTTTATTGGATAACAAAATATGTGTTTTGTCATTTCAAAAGCTGTGTTCATCCAAATAATTTTAAATACTTTTAAAGAGTTAAATATAAAACTATTTCTGTGTAATCAGGATTTGCAGGTTTTAGGTACATGTTTGGAACAATATCAATGACAGAAAAAGATCCAATTTAATAAGGCATTCAGACAGTCCCTTGGAAATCAGTGAACTGGAGTCAAATTTCAATTATTCATGGTAACTGGAGACAAAGACTTATCAACTAACCTGCACAAATAATCGAAAAAAAACATTATTCTAAGCAATTTCTACTTAGAGGAAATCTTTCAAAGAAAATAAGCACATGGACTGTATACTTGTCCTCTAAGTTAGTGCTAACAGTGGCTATGAGTGAGGTCATATAGGATAAGGTAAGTAAGTAAAGTAGGAAGGAAGAAAAAAGTCCAAACAAAACAAAACACCCACACAATGCACAAGCTAGCTCATCATTCCACCAAATAGCTAATGGAAATGAATTTTCCATTTGGCTTTACAAAAATGAATTCTGTTCTCAATATTATTCTCTTTCAAGCATATCCAGTTTTAATTCTTCTTAAAAAAATCTTAAAATGAAAGAAATTTTGCAATACATACAGCAGGTACCAATACTTAAGTCTCAAGATTTCTTTTTTGGTAAACAATTCTTTAGATATAAATAACCACTTAAATTGAAAACCAGGCACTGTCTTAATTTCATTAAAAAACATAATTAAATTAACTCTGACACCTAGTGGCAAGAAAGAACATCTTTCTTTTATGATGCTACCTGAAATGTACCTTCCGAAATCAAACCCAATAACTCTAAAACCAAAGACACCTCTAAATTCCCACAAAAGATTATCCATTTAATCTATTTAAGAACTATCCATTAACCTGGAAGAAAGAAAAAAAATCTTCATTACAAAACAAAAACAAAACTTGTTTGCAGATGTAAAACTGGCTACAAAATCTTTTCCTGGAGGTGGGAGTGGGAGTTGGTACTAAAGGGACTCCTTCAGAAAATGTCTGAAATGATAAATTTGTAACCTTAAAAGACCAAAAAAACGAGAACTGCTTAAAAAATTAAGCATGCAGCTGAATATATCACTTGAAAGAGATTATTACTTATTAATAAACTGTGGAATGTGTTTAACTCTTGTTCTCTAAGATGGGCTGTCCCTCCCCCTTAAGAATGTTCTAACTTTAAAACAGTAAAATGACTAACAAATAAGCTAACAAAACCCACAGTTTTCCTCTACATTTATAATGAAACACAACTGTGAACACTTCAAGCTTCACAGAGCCATTGTCTGGCTGAATAGCTCAATTCAATCAAATGTTCTGTTCAATTTCCAGATACCATGTGTATATAGTGTAAATTTGGATCAAACACCAGTCTGTAGAAATCTGAAGAAATATTTAAGATTCTAAACAAAATTCTAGGATGAAATATTTTGAAAATTAGGGACAATAAATTTTGAAATATCTATTTTCAACTGAAGAAATTTTCCATTCTGCAGACTGGCATGATTGAACTGCTGTGTTGACTACGAAAAAATTGGCCATCAGTGTGAATATTTACAAGCTTTCTTTTAAAAATATTATTTCCTTTGAAAAATGCGATTATAACCAATTCAGACTGGAGGCCTAAGCCTAAAATATGGCATATTGATTAATAAGAAATGCTTATACACAGCACATTTACAAAATGTCTTTGTCCTCTTAAAAACAATCCCAAGCAGATATAGCTTCTACACAGAATCGGCTTGCAATCACTTCAAAATGTCCACCTCCTTCAATTTCCTGACCACTTAAAGATAAATTCGCTGAAAGGAAGCAAAATATCTGACTGAACTAAGACATTCATCAAATCTTCAGTCAAGTCACTGGGGTGAAATAAAATTCCAATGGCAAATTTTTTGTTTTAAAATATCCTGGACAGAACAACTGTGATTTTAAAGTATAAATAAACCTCTCCTAAAGCTGGAGGGTGGACTTAAAGCACCAGTTTAAAAATGAATTGCAAAAGAGGTGGGGGCTGTCAAAGGGCAAGTTACTTCACTTGGAGGGGAAGTGTCAGGGTGAGGAGGGGCCAGAATGGTCATTTCCCAGGGCTCTACTTTAGTGGTCAAGCAGGACGTTTGGGTTAAAGCCACGAAAACACGTTCCAATTTTTCACTCTCTACCCGGGTTTGGGGAGAATCGACGACCCCTACTTCATCTTCTCCAACAAGGAAGCTTTGAGTGATTGGGGGGAACAATACCTTCGTTATTCTTGCAAGACAAACGAAGTCTGGCTGGGATCAGCCCACTTTCGAGTTTTGCCTGCCAACTCGGGCCAGGGGTTGGGAGGCGGTATATAAGAGACAGGAAACAAGACCCCTGGGGGGGTCCACGCTCCGGCCAGATACGTGGAAAACCCAACTCCACTTCACCCGCGGTCCCGCTTCCCGACTAGGGGCCAAGTTCTCTAGGGAAGTAGCCCCCGAGCCCGCAGCCACAGCGCAATCAGGAACGAGCCCACTCCTGCTGACCGACGCCAAGACTCAGTTCGAGACCGGGAGGGGCGAGCTCCGGGATCTCGCACAGGCTGGGGCTCCAGGAAGGCTCCCTCCCCGGGAACGCAATCCCCGCGCCTCCCCTCCACAGAACTCGGCCCAGAGGAAGGGGCGGCCGGGTCCCCAGGGGCCTCACCAGACGAAGCTGGCTAATTTCGTCGTAGGACATAAAGCTGAGGATGTTCTCGATAGCTACGATGGGCAGCGCCACCAGAGTGTTGTTTTGAGGCAGCTGGTCCGGAGCCAGCGCCGGCACTGGGGGTGCCTGGGACCCCGGCTGCGGAGGCTGTGGCGGAGGCGGTGGGAGCTGTCGCTGAGAAGAGCCGGCGGCCGAAGAGGAGCCGCCGTCGCCGTGGCCGCCGCCTCCTTCCTCAGCCATCCGCTCCTCCGACGCCGCCGCCATCTTGGGAGTTTGATTCCTTCCCCCACTGTAAGGGGAACGGGGATACTTCCTGCGCGTCACTTCCTCCTCCTGCAACTACGGGGAGGGGACACCTAGGGGAGAGGGAGGAGCTCTGGGGTGACAGGCTTGGTGTTTGTTCAAGTGGAAATGAGGAAAGAGCTGGAAAACCTCAAGAAAGGTGGTCGTCTTAGACTCTTTTATCTAAGATTGGAAACCACTTGAGAGCAAGGGAATCCTAGCTATTAAGATGAACTTCACTGGTACAGTTTTCTTGAAGAATTTCCTCACAGAAGACAATAAAAATATTGATAATAAAAATAATAATATAGTTAGAATATTACCATTTTCCCAGAATCATGGTAATAAATTGATTTAGGCAAACAAAAAAGAATAAAATTATCGGTAAAACTACTGCAAAGACAAGCCTTAAAAAAATGTTCAGTGAAAGAAGACAAGCACAAAGGACCATTTATTATATAATTCCATTTAAATGAAGTAGCTGAAGTCTTAAAAGAAAAGATTAGTATTTGCCACAGGTCTGGAGAAGTATGGAAGAGAAACAACGGTAATGTGTGCACAGTATATTTTTGGATGAAATGGAATTTATAGTGCTGATGGTTGCACAACTTGTGAATATACTAAAAATAATGAATTGTATAATTTAAGATAATGAATTTTTATTGATTAAAAAAATAATGAGAGTGCAATACATTACAATTCTTATTACATGTATACAGCACAATTTTTCATATCTCTGGTTGTATATAAAGTATGTTGACACCAATTCGTGTCTTCATGCATGTACTTTGGATAATGATAACTATCCATTCCACCATCCTTGCTAATCCCCTGCCTCCTCCCTTTCCCTCCCATCCCTCTGCCCTATCTAGAATTCATCTATTCTTCCCATGCTCCCCCTCCTTGTCCCACCATGAGTCAGCCTCCTTGTATCAGAGAAAACATTCGGCATTTGTTTTTTGGGGATTGGCTAACTTTACTTAGCATTATCTTCTCCAATGCTAACCATTTACCTGAAATGCCATGATTTTATTCTCTTTTATTGCTGAGTAAAATTCCATTGTGTCTATATGCCACACTTTTTTTATCCATTCATCCACTGAAGGGCATCTATGTTGGTTCCACAGTTTAGCTATTGTGAATTGTGCTGCTATAAACATTGATGTGGCTGTGCCCTTGTAGTATGCTGTTTTTAAGTCTTTTGGATATAGATTGAGGAGAGGGATAGATGGGTCAAGTGGTGGTTCCATTCCCAGATTTCCAAGGAATCTCCATACTGCTTTCCATATTGGCTGCACCAATTTGCGGTTCCACCAGCAATGTATGAGTGTACCCTTTTCCCCACATCCTCACCAACACTTATTGTTGTTTGTCTTCATAATAGCTACTATGAATTTTTATTATATACGAATTATTTTCCAGCAAAACAATTAATTTTAGGCTAGAATTATCAAAAAATGCTAAAACTAGAAGAAAAAGTGATGATGAACATAATGTTTAGTGTCTCAAAATAACTCCCCACACCATACTTCCAAAAGCACTATACAGATTTAATGCAATTCCAATCAGAATTCCAATGACATTCCTCATAGAAACAGAAAAAGCAATCATGAAATTCATCTGGAAAAATAAGAGACCCAGAATAGCTAAAGCAATCCTTAGCAGGAAGAGTGAAGCAGGTGGCATCACTATACCAGACCTTAAACTATACTACAGAGCAATAGTAACAAAAACAGCATGGTATTGGCACCAAAACAGACTGGTAGACCAATAGTTTAGAATAGAGGACACAGAGATTAACCCACAAAACTACAATTATCTTATATTAGAAAAAATCTGCCAAGAACATGCATTGGAGAAAAAATAGCCTTTTCAACAAATGGTGCTGGGAAAACTAGAAATCCATATGCAACAAAATGAGATTAAACCCCTATCTCTCACCATGCACAAAACTTAACTCAAAATGGATCAAGGACTTAGGAATTAAACCAGAGACCCTGCATTGAATAGAAGAAAAAGTAGGCCTTAATCTCAATCATGTGAGATTAGACCCCAACTTCTTTAATGAGACTCCTGTGACACAAGAATTAAAATCAAGAATCAATAAATGAGATGGACTCAAACTAAAAAGTTTCTTCTCAGCAAAAGAAACAATCTGTGAGGTGAATAGAGAGCCTACATTTTTGGAAGCAAATTTTAACCCCACAACAAATCAGATAGAGCACTAATCACTAGGGTATATAAAGAACTCAAAAAACTAAACACCCCTTCCCCCCAAAAAACCCAAATAACCCAATCAATAAATGAGTCAAGGAATCTGAACAGACACTTCTCAGAAGATGATGTATAATCAATCAACAAATACATGAAAAAATGTTCATCATCACTAGCAATTAGAGAAATGCAAGTTAAAACCACTCTAAGATTTCATCTCACTCCAGGCAGAATGGCAGTTATTATGCATATAAACAACAATAAGTGTTGGTGAGGATGTGAGGAAAAAGGTACACTCATACACTGCTGGTAGGACTGCAAATTGGTGCAGCCAATATGGAAAGCAGTATGGAGATTTCTTGGAAAATTGGGAATAGAACCAACATTTGACCCAGCTGTCCCTCTCCTCAATCTATACCCAAAAGACTTAAAAACAGCATGCTACAGAGGCACATATGTTTATAGCAGCACAATTCACAATAGCTAAACTGTGGAACCAACCTAGATGCCTTTCAATAGATGAATGGCTAAAGAAAATATGGCATTTATACACAATGGAATTTTACTCAGCAATAAAAGAGAATAAAATCATGGCATTTGCAGGTAAATGGATGGAGTTAGAGAAGATAATGCTAAGTGAAGTTAGCCAATCACCAAAAACTAAGTGCTGAATGTTTTCTTTGATTTAAGGAGGTTGATTCATAGTGGGATAGGGAGCAGAAACATGGGAGGAACAGATGAACTTTAGATAGGGCGGAGGGGTTGGAAGGGAAGGGAGAGGGCATGGGGTAATTAATAATGGTGGAAAGTGATGATCCTTATTATCCAAAGTACATGTATGAAGACACAAATTGGTGTGAATATGCTATGTTTACAACAGACAGATGAAAAATTGTGCTCTATTTATGTAATAAGAATTGTAATGCATTCTGCTGTCATATATAAATAAAAAACGTACATAAAAAATAACTCCACACATTATATAATAATTACAAAGATGAAAAATGTTTACAATAGAGAAATTTAATAGACACTGTTATAGCAAAATGACCAAGATTAAAATCACAAGTTATGGGAAGAACTGACATCATGTTCCTCTTAAAATGAGAATAACACAACTTAATGTAATATTCCTGCACAATAATGCATAATCTGTAGTTGAGGTAGACAAATCTAGATTACTGGCTCATGTTCTTCAAAAAAATGTCATGAAAGACAAAAACTAAGAAATTGTCTTAGATTAAAAGGACATAACAATTAAATCCATGATGATCTTGGATTGGTTCCTGGTGTGGGGGAAAATAGCTATAAAGGACGTTATGTCAATTGACTTTAATATTTAATTATCAGATTTTTCTGATTTGGGCATGGCATGGTGAATCATGCTGTAACCTTGGCCATTTAGCAAGACCCTGTCTCAAAAATATAAAGGGCTGAAGGGCTGGGGCTGTAGCTCAGCGGTAGAGCACTTGCCTTGCACGCATGAGGCACTGGATTTGATCCTCCGCACCACATAAAAAGAAATTAATAAAAAATAAATATATTGTGTCCATCCATAACTAAAAAAATATTTTTAAAAATATATAAAGGGCTGAGGCTTTAGCTCAATGATAGAGTACCCCTGGGTTCAGCCCACAGTACTGAAAAATAAATCTGATTTGGATAATTATATTGTGTTTTTTTAAGGCAATGTCCTCGTTCCTAAGAAATACATATTGAAGTATCTAGGGAAAAAAGAGAATGATATCTCTATTTACTCTCAAATTGTTCAAATAGAATGAGATTAATAAGGCAAATATAGAAAGAGGTGAGAATATGTGAACTTGGGTGCAGAGCAAATTTGAATGTCCTTGCCCTATTTTTTAATTATTTCAGAATAAAAAAATTCAAAGTTTGCTTAATATTTCCACAACTTTGTATCCTCATAATACCCTATGACAAAGATAAAGGTACCTAAATTACCAAATTTTGAAGCTTTCTGTTCCTTGGTTCTTGCTGAGAGCCATAGCCAAGTAGGAATGACGCATGGCAATTTCTTTGTCAGCCTGCCCAATGTTGCTTAGAGGGAGGACTCTCCATTGTGGAAATGGGCTTGCCTTGGACTCAGGTCATTTGCAGTGACATTGCATGAATGTTTGAGAAAGGCGACCCTGTTCAAGGACCAGGGTGGATCTGGGTTTAGGGAGGATCCTGCTGGATTAGGGTGGGTCCAGGTTTAGGGTGTATCCTGCTGGGAATAGGGAGTATCCTGCTGCCTCAGGTGCCTGCCCACTCCTTGAGTTCCCGTTGAGTTCTCACGGGATTCAGAGAGTATTTTGGGATGCAGAGCCCAGTGGAAGTGTGGATTTTTCCCAGAACGTGCGTGTAGAGTGCCGGTGAGAGTTCGGGAATAAAGAGTTGCTGTTTGAATCTACAAGGCTGTGAGTGGCTCATGATTTTGTAATCAGCCAGACTACGGAAATTGGTGGCCCGGACGGGGAACATCTGAAGCTTGGAGGTAAGTAAAATTGCTCGCCCCTGAGGGAAGGTGAGAGAATGGGTGACCATTTCAAAAAACAATGTGTTCTTGTTTTGATTTATTTTGTTTTTGTTTCAAGCTGCCTATCCCTAGAAATTTCTCAGGCAAACTGGGAAAAATGGTTGGCTCAAGGTTTGAAGTTTGTCGGCCCTGAGGAAGAGAAAATTGATACAACGATTTTTTATTCCGTTTTTGTTTCATTCAGTTTTGGTTTTGTTTTGTGTTATCTTATTGGGTTGCGTTATCTTTATAGTAGATTAGAAAATAGTAAAAAATAAACCA